TAAATCTATGGTTAAATAGATTTGAATTGGAAAATCTCCAAACGTTTTAGACTTTCGTTTTATAATTTAAACTTGCCAAACGACACTTGAAAATCCTAAAGGTAAATTGGAAAAGAAATTACGAAATCACTGCTTCAATTTTTCGTATTAGGAAATTCGGCAATTTGTTTATTTAAACTGTCATTATAAAGATTGCTTTCAAAATAAAATGTTTTAAGCGTTAAAATATATTAAAAATATATACTTACTTCTCATTTAATCTTTTGCACTTCACAAAACAATACAAAGCTTTGTAATCTTTTGACAACGTGTCTTCCATTTTTTCATATTTTAGCTCATGTATATAAAACGGGTGTGTGATTTCAACTTTGTCATGAAAAAACCTGAAAGAGAATCAGAAAATTTAAATATTGCTTTTATATATTACTGTTACTTATACACATTTAAAATAATCGAATAAATGTATAAATATTTTGAGAATTTGATTTAAAGTTAGCTGCTGTATCTTTTGTCATCATCAATCATCAATCATTAATACATACTCGTATTACAAGACAAAGTCTCCCGCCGCGTCTGTTTGTCTGTCTATAACTGAAAAAGAATGTACTCAAGGCATTATACGCAACATAGGCTATTTTACATTTTTTGCAAAATTTCTCCTGCGAAGCTGGGCAGGTTACCTAGTTTTAAAATAAACTAAACCGATGAAAAGTAATTCGTTGTAAAATATTTAATATTCCCTTTAAGCCAAACTTTAGATACCCTCAAAAAAGATCATTAAAATTTACATAAAACGCTTCGGAACGAACTAATTAAATACTTTGGTGGGGAAAATTAGTCATTGCTTTTTACAAACGGTTGTCCAAACTAAGAGTGGGTTTAATGAAATGAACTTTTTATTGAAAAAAATTTCAGAGATATATTTATAGAAAGCAATTTTCGATTCGCAACAGAATACTTAAAGAGATTAAAAAAATAAGATTAATTATTAAAACGGTCTACTTAGATAAGAAGAAAGAATAAATAATTATGTATCAACATTTTAATTAATTTTTATCATTGGTAACTAAATCAAAAATACGTTTAATAAGCGCTATTTCAACAAGCTCATTCCAAATAATTCACTTCATCCATTAATTAACTACGAAGCTAGGAAAGTAATTAACGTTTTTTAGTATTTGCCGAAGCGTTAATTGTGTTTGATTTCCAGGCAATATTTTTGGATTACTACATAGAATTCTTTTGACTTTTTCTTACAAATATACAAACTTAATAGATATATAGGAGTATTTATTTATATATAAATACTTAAATTATATCTTTGTTATAATAAATTGTAAATTATATTCTCTGAAGTTGCTCTGTGATTTAATTAAAGTTAGTTCATAAAAGGGACAACAGTCAGACAATAACAGCTGTCTACAAGTACGCTGAGAGAATAGGAATTTCAGATAATTTACTTACATTTTGACTTTAATACCATTTCATTTTTAAATTATATACAACATTATTTAAAACAGAGGAAGTAAAAAAATATTTTATTTTTCTTTAAACTTTACAAGTTAATTGTAAGAACATCATACATATTATTTTATTTAAAATATTATTGTTTTTACACATGAAATGTTTAAAGGTGTTTGAGAATCATTTATTTATATATTTTGAACGTACTATAAACTGAAGTTTTTTGGAGGTTTTATTCAAATCAAAGAAATGCTTCTTTAAGTCAATTTTCTTCAATGAGCAGTTAAATCGGCAGAGATATTTATAAATACTTCATTTCCCCATACTTCGTGGAAAAACATCATTCAATCAATGTTATACCAACTGAGCAATTTTTTATAATGCGATACTGTTATCGCAATAAAAAGCTGTAAAAAGTATAAAAAATAGCTGTGTATAAAGCTTTAACGAGCTGTCACAGACTTTCATTACAGCCTTACTAGAACCTCCTCTTTCAACTCCTTTAATATAACCATGTCGTGCTTGTTATACAAAGAAATAAAAAATAATGAACGATAACAAAACTGTTCTTGTTATTCAAGGGGTTATTGCAGCAACATTCCTAATAGGAAAATTTTAAAAATTCTAATATTTATTCAATGTTTAGTTTTAAATACTATCATTTGAATTTCTTAAACCATATGTAGATATTAAAAAAAAATGGGAAATCTCTCTGAGCTGAGTACAGCTTTAATTCATTACTAGTATAATCTAAATATTCTTCTTTCTACTAGTCTGTCTGCGCTTTAAAAGTATTTTGAGACTTCAATGTTAGAATTTAATTTTATTATATATTTATTTATTTTTCATTATATTTATCTTGAAACTTAGGAAAATTTTCTACTTCTTTCGAATTACTACACGTTATTTAATTACTTTTAAAACTACATACTCCCCACATTTCGGTTACTTTACACCAACCGTGATCACGAGCCGACTAGTTGCCCGTCTCATTATAGATCTTATTATTAAAAATAAAAACTTTGTATCGAAAGTAAATCATTGGTTGAGTTTGTTTTCATTATCCTCATCCGAGATTGTGGTTTAAATTATCGAAACAAGACACTTCAATTCGGATTTTATCTCAAGTATTTTGTCAATTTGTGGCTATTTCTCTTATGATGTTGATTTAATAAAATTAACAGATTTGAAATAGTTATTTAAGTTTTAAATGTTTAATATTGCTATTATTAATTTAACAACATGATTATGTAAAGCATATATAAATATTGGGAATTGGTCGGTTAATACAGATTTTTTCAACAACAACTGTTAGTAAAAACAATATTTTTTTTATGTTAGGATTAATATATAAAAGTATTAAAATTTTATGTTTATAGTGTTCGTGTGAGAAAATATGCGTGAATCCGTGAAAGGCTTATCAATGATGAAATCTATAATATTTAGTGAACTTTACCTTTAAATCTAATTCGCATGCAACATGCGAAGCTGCTTATCGTATTCATCACGCACATATTAAGAAACATCGTATTTTATAAAGATTTTTTTACTTCAGAATAATTTATATTTGATTATAGAAAGGATGTTCATTTTAATCGAATTATATTTGTTTATTCAAATGAAATTAAGTAATATTCATTCATGTTTCTGTTTTTCAGGGAGGCTAACATATACATATATAATATCTGCAGTCTTATAATTTACATTAAATTATATATTTTAGCTACTGAATTATACTTATTCACAAAATAATTCGTCACTTCTATTCAACCATGCGACTTTAATTGTTCAATGAAAACCGCTCAACTAATAAAGGGAACTCATGCAAAAAGAACAGTTGTTGATCAAAAATCAATTTTCCACATCAATTATTCGCCAACGTTGTAAATTTTTTCCGAACCTTGAAAATTTGTCTTCAAATTTTATTTTATTCCTAAGTATAAAATGTATTACTTATTTCTTTCTATTTACTGTTATGTATTATAAACACATATAACCATGACTTGCTTTTAAACTAACGTACACCAAATCCGGTGTGGTTGTGATAAATTACTGTTTGGGTCATCATTACTTATTTTAAGTTGGGTGTTGGTGAAAGAAATATTCAGGATTAATGGTATTGGATCCAAATACCGGAAGAAAATCCATGATATATAGCCTTGAGGTCAATCAGTAATAGAAAAAGGTTATTTTGTTAAAACCAATATTTCAGTAACTAAAACATTTTTATAAGGACCTTTTTATATTTCTGACCACAATTTTTATAAAAGATATAAAAATGGTAGTCATTAATTCGTGGTTTTCGTTTTAAGGAATTTAAGTTTTTATTTGCACAATATAATTTTCATTTAAGAATACATATAACAGGAGTCACGAAAAAATTAATCTGGTACATCAAAAATAAAACTAACATTGCTTTGATAAATAAATTGATTTTATTGTATAATTATACTATTTTGTATTAAAAGTAAATTCGCTGTTTGCATAAGGGACTATTTATTTATTTTATTAAGAAATAATGAGATATTTATAATAAAGCTTTCATGTTCGCTTGATATCTGAAAGAAATTTAGCCTCAAACTTGGGTAAACAAAAGAATGTTGCTGTTCGTATTTAATTAAATTACTTGCAAAATAATGAAATAGATCTTAAGGAAAATTAATTAAAAGTTAAGCCAGACAAATATTAGCGAGCTTATTTCGCTATAATTATTTTTGCCAAGGGTTTGAGATATGTTGATAAAAGTTAAATTAAGAAGATATTTAAAAATTAATAATCTTTTTATTTGTTACAATAAATGATTTTCAAACTTAATATATTTTAAGTTGGATTACATATCGATGGAAGGAAATGTGTTTTATTTTAATTTATTATTGATAGGAATAAAAATAAAGTAGATATTATTAGTTTTTTTTATTTAAGAATTCTAGAATACGATTGTTGATAGTATCAGTCCAGGGTATTTTCTTTTCCGAACCGGTGGTAGTCTCAAATGACCATCAATAAGAAAGGGTAATGCTTCTATATTGAATAAAGTTGTTTGAGTTTGAGTTTATCTATGTATTCAATATTGTTAACTTCAGTGATAGTTTAGTAGAAAAAGCATATCGTATGTAAAGTTAAATAAAAAAAATGGTTATATATAAATAACCTTATGTTGCTAAATAAATAACAAAACATTTTATAGTTAAATTTCAAAATATTTTTAAATTAAAAAAAAACTTTAAAAATTATTACCAAAATAATATATTTTCACCATTCAAATATATAAAAATCCATAACATGAAAAAGAATATTATATAAAGTTGTTACAGACGTTTAATAAAAAAAAAGCGAAAAAAGCCCTGAGAAGTTGCTTTGTTGAAATATGTAAGACACGAAATTGAAGTAATTGCGACACTTTCTTTTGTTACAGACTTGAAAATGTCCATCTCTGAATTCAGGAGGAAGAAGCTTCTGTACGTCTTCAACGTTTTCTTCGGTACGCTATTTTTTGTATACTTTTAAAGTTTCTGTTCACCGCAGCTCTGGTGCTAATGAAGTTTTCTTTTTCAGATGTCAATCAGAGCGGTACCATTGAAAGGAAGGACTTCGAGTTGGCTATTGAGGTTGGAAATTTTGCTTATCGCGCTTCTAAATAATTTATGGTTTTTCTTAATGATCAGAAACGTATTATATCTTACGAGAACAATATCTATTCAGTGTCGAACAAAGTTTATTTTTCAATCTCCGTTGAAAATTTCTTTAATTGAAATATGTAATTTTGAATGCTGAGTAAATACAAAAGTAGAAAATATTATGGCTTTAATTTGTTACTTTTTCTCCATATAATATGAAAAATGGTTTAAGAGTTCTATAATATTCTCCAAATTTAATTAAATGATGTTTGTATAGAAAATCTGCAGTCTTCGCGGCTGGAAACCTGGAGACCCAAAGAACACTGAAACTCACGAGATTATGATCAAGATTTGGGAAGGGCTGAGGAAGAGAGCTGATTCTAACAAGGATGGCCAGGTATATATAACATAAGTTTTAAATTATATTTGTCACAATACATAATATAATATTTATTTATATTTTATACAAACATACTGTTATTGAAACAGATATTAAAGGAACTAATGTTTTTTTTTATTATATTCGTGTTCTACCAAAGAAGTAATCCTCTAAATAAACAAGTTAATGTACCTTTTAACCGCTACATGAGATGAAATGGTCCCATAAACCATGATTAACCTGGGATAAGGATAGCAGCAAATCCTTTTACAAAACTCCATCTACTATATACGGATTAAGCTACTCTTGATCCTAGATTATGCTTCAAGCTAATCCTATTATGTAATTTATTGAGAATATATTTGAAAACTGTATGAATATTTGATAAATTAGAAAAAATAAAAAAGGTTTCTTAAATGGTTGGTTAGCAATAATGTTAACGTAATACTCAATTTAAAATTTCCTTGATAACGTTTTATACAGTTAAATTTTACACAAAATATTTTTCTGTTTATATTAATTTTTAAAACCATTTTTATTATGAATGTAGAAGTGACATATATTTAACCGTGAGCGAAAAACAAAATTTGATTATTTTTGTAGCAATTTACGTTGGGTAAACATTGAGCAAACTTTATTTATTTTATTAACATCAATGAAAACCCAAAAATACGGAAAGCCTTCAATGCGAAACGCTAAATAAAATATGACTTCTGTTTGTCTAATCTCTGATAATCCAGCGGATATTATTTGCCTTCCAACTTTTCTTGTACCGGCACCATTGAATCAGCCTTTTTATTAAAGCTGCGGCATTAATGTACATTCTGCGGTGAAGGGTTGGATATTAGCATTTTTATGGAATAACCCTTTTTATTGTTTATTGCTTGTCGTTACCCCAACTCGTTACAATGAAAACGTCCGAGCAATATCAATATTTAACATCCATGACACAGTGCGGAAGATTTATGAATTCTGTCCCGTTTCATACAAAATTTCAACTGGTTTCAAAATATTGTCACAAATATCGATAGTATGCACATAAATTCTACGTTGTCATGATTCAATTGAAGTGATTGTTTCACAGTATACTGTTTATAAACTCAACAATAGAACAACTGCATAAATGATTTATTTGTCTCGTATTTCCTTTAGGTGTCAGTAGAGGAATGGGTCTCTATGTGGAACGATTATGCTCAGAACCCATCTGCAGCTTTGCAATGGCAGCAATTATATGCCCAGTTCATGTTTCAACTGGAGGACGCCAGTGCTGATGGAACCATAGATTGTGATGAGTTCACCACCGTTTGCTCTTCTTATGGTATTAACCCCCAGGAGTGTAAGGTGGCTTTCGGCAAGATGGCTAAGGTGTGTAAAATAGTTTGAATGTATTCTCAATATAACTGTTTCAATATTAAGTAGTAAAATTATGGTTCACATATTTAATAAAAATAATAAATTTATGTCACCATATAGGTTCGTAATCGAATATTTAAATCCAATTCCCCTTGCAGGGCAAGGCAAGTGTCTCTTGGGAGGAGTTCCAGGATTTGTGGAAGGAATATTTCTCTACAGAAGATCCTAATGCGTCAGGAAATTTTATATTCGGCAGAACTAGTTTCTAAATTTGATGTTGACATCTAGGCCCGTAACTTCGATCTAGACAAAACCGTCTATACATTCCCTTTAGTCATGACGGAAAATTTGGCCTCGGGGTCTATCACACGCGTGTGAAACTCAATCACATTGTTTTTTATAAAACGTGTGATTGATTAAATATATGTCAATGTCATTTTGTGTACGTGTTCAGAATATAAACATAATTTTCTCAGTAATATAATTGTTTATCTTCTAGTTTCAGCTCAAATTAGATTCCTTCGTAGATAACGTGCTATACAACGAATATTTCACTATTGACTTCATTCATATCTGTAGTTATATTTAGACATTAAATTCTTTAAACTATAATATAGATGCTATTGCTTCTCTTATTAATGAAGATTTTATCTCATTAGATATATGTTTTAAATCAAATATCTTAGCCAAATCCGCCAATTTTAACATGGATGAGACCAACTACAACTGCCTTTGGTCAATATAAAGTGGATTTCTAGTGAAAGATTAATAATAAATATTCATTGTATTGATGTTTATGTCACTATGAAATATTATATGTATTTTATTCCTCAAAGTAATAGTTTACCATCGTTTCTCTTTAAAATGTTCTATCTTATGTATATATTATAATGAATAAATGATGTCATATCCAAAATGGGGTTTTATTGATATATATTTAATATTAGTCCACCAAGTAACCAATAATACTATGGTATAGCGACTAAGAGATGTTTCTTTTATAAAACAAAAAACTATATAAAATCACCTATTATATATTTAAATTTAAAATACATATATACGCATTTTGAGTGTAATTTTAAAATCAGTTGCAATATTTTTTTACACTACAACATTCAAAAAGTTATTTTATAAATTTTATAAAAAAAAATCAGATTTTTAAAATTTATTTTTAGTATGGTTACAAGCTGATGAAAATTTCCGAATTCATTAATATGATATTTTTTATTCATAAGTAATAATTTTAAATCAAATGATTAACACCTTTTTTCTCTGATGAATTATTTCCTCTTACAAGAACATTCATTAATTACTTGTCCGAACCCAACTTTTTGTTGAAAAATTACGAAATTTTTCCGGTTGTATAAAGAAAAAGGAGATAATAACTGAGTAATGGATCGGTATGAAAAATGTTTAGGATTTCTGATCTTATTAAGAGTAATGTTTTTTTTTTAAATTAATAAAAACTTTGTGCTCTTATTTTGTGTCAGTCTGATACAAAACTTCATAATTCTTAACTAGCCCCGTTCTTCTCCTACCTGGAAATTTCCCAGCTTTAGCCAGAGTCTGCCTTACATGCCTGATACTGTATATGCCAGACATCAACCCTCTTTGGGAATGCATTAATCAGCGATGTCTAAATACTCTTACAAAGTACATATGACTCGGAAAAATCACATTGGTACTTGCCAGGATCGAACCCGTGCCCTCATGCATGCCGCTTAATCACTAGGTCACCACTGACTTACTAATAATTCTTAACTAGCCTATTCGACTAACATATGAATTATTTTTAATTTCAAATAAAGATATATTTCATATAAATGGCACTTTTATTGTAAAATATACTGAATAAAGTCACTGCCTAAGCAGCTGCCTCTTTTAGCATTATTTTTCAGATAGAATTTGTTATTTACCGAAGAATTTCCGAAAAAAGAAATCATGATGGTTCTTAATAATCGCTCTAGTAAATTGGTTTCTTTCTTAGTGCTTCAAGTCAGGGTGAACCGATAAAAAATGCACAAAATGCTCCACTCATTTCGCCCTTTTAGTTACGTAATTTTTTTCTCTTCAGTGCTCGATGGAAATTGATGAAAGCTTTATGTACTTTATGCCTGAGTGGATCAAAATTGAGTATAGTATACTTGTGAAAAAATATTTTTTGACTTCAAACAAAAAGCAAAATCAGCGTATTTCAAGTTGATGACAAATATTTAAATTATGATGACGAATATTTTATATTAGAAAGTGATTTCAAACAACTGTTAAAAATAAACTCCTATTTGCTTTTTCGTCTAATTTTAACGTGTATTTTAACTTGATTTTCTATCTTTGAATCCAAAGGTAATAAGTATGTTACATACTAGAGTATTGTATGGAATTTAATAAATATTTCGAATATTTTTTTTGTGGTAAAAACCCAATCCTAGTAAAGTATAGGATACATCTAGACCGACATTAACTTTTATGAATCCTTTGATATTTCATAACATTTCGATGACAAAAAATTTTTTTTTCTATAGATTTTCGCAGACATAATTAAATTTTCATAAAATTGCATATTATCATTTTAAAGTGACAAATACGCCGTGTATAGATTTTGATTTTATAACATACCTTTAGCATGGCTATATACATTTACAATCACTAACTAAATTTGCAACTTAAAGTTTAATTTGACTATAAACCTTACTTAATTATTGGTTTTAGTTATAGGAACCAATTTTCAACAAAATACTTACTTCATCCTAAACAAATATGCCATAGAATTATTCAAAAACATTTATTTAAGAACAGAAGAAAAATAACCTTAAGAAGTTCACTCGGTTCACAAAATAAATGATTCTATTTATTGTATTGATTGCGGGATCTGTTTAAATTATTCAGATTCTTTCAATTTTCAAAGAGAAAAGGAAATAGGGTTATTTGTAAGCTTCGAGCGACTCGTTTCATTATTCTTAAAATAATTCCATTTCAATATAAAATAAAAGTAAAATGAGCATCGTACATGAACGGAGTTTTACATAAATTATCGTATTTTCTGAAGAAAATATAAAAATATTTTTATTGTTCATTTGTGAGAAATATTTTAAAACTTGCACAAATTCGACAATAGAAATGAGAGTTGTTAAATAAACTTTACTCGTAAATCACGGGACCGTGCTTATGTTTCAAAGTAACGATAATTAAGCTCGGTTTTTCATATATATATATATATATATATATATATATATATATATATATATATATATATATATATATATATATATATATATATCTATAAAATTGACAATTTTCGTTAATAATATTGTTGATTAATATGTTGAGAACTTAAAATATAATCAGCAGAAGTCTATGTTTTTATTATATCCCAAAAACGAATCATAATATATTCATACCATATGGATATATGTATATATAAGTGAGTAATAATTTACACAAACAATGTATATATATGTCGGAGAAGGTGCCAATACGTGGTTTTTAAAATGAGTGACGTCAGCATAACTGACGTCACCAGTGCGGTTTGTTCTCGAATGTCGTCAGCCCTTGAGGCTATCGAAGGTAACCTCACAGCCCTCACAGCCGGTGGGACGGTGTCTCGCTTCCAAGAGGTTCGATCCCCGCGACGGCTCCAGCACGACTATCTGTAATCAGTAACTCGCCTCTATTTATAATGACTAACAGCCATTGTTATGACTTCACTTGCACAGGTTGTCACGTGAGCGACACCTCACAATTTATCTACCCTCAATTACTGATTATTAAAATGGTAACTGCGCCGACACGGCCATTCTGACAGTTGGTGCGCGCTCTGCACCATCCTGCATTCTTGGTTAAGATTCCCTGGTCACCTGAGAATGAAATAAAAACAAAAACTGATCGTTATGAGCTAGCTCAAGGGTAGCATATGATTAGTTCAAAGATGTAACACTCTCCAGATCTACGGTGTATACATGTCTCCTCACGGTTCCACAAGGCGTCCCCTCGTTATCTCATGGTTCTCTTACGGATACATCAAGGACCTGTGGTTAGCTCAAGGATAGCACGTAATTAGCTCAGAGGTATCACTCTTTGGTGCATACATGTCTCCTCACGGCTTCACAAGGCATCCCTACAGAATCTCATGGTTCTCATATGGATACATCATGGACACGAGGTTAGCTTGAGGGTAACACGTGATTAGCTCAGAGGTAACACTCCAGATCTGTGGTGTACACTTGACTTCTGATGGTTCCACAAAGGATTTTAATTTTTAGGATGTTGCTGTGGTCTGGGCGGTCTTGTACGCCGTGGTCCACAGAGGCTCTAAGGGATTGAGGTAGGTCGATGCTGTGGTCTAGGACTTTTTGTCCATGGTCCACAGGGGCTCTGAAACATTGAAGAAAAATTCCATTATTATCAGATGGACGAGCAGAAGTGAACGATCCCACTTCTGATGTCGGAGAAGGTGCCAATACGTGGTTTTTAAAATGAGTGACGTCAGCATAACTGACGTCACCAGTGCGGTTTGTTCTCGAATGTCGTCAGCCCTTGAGGCTATCGAAGGTAACCTCACAGCCCTCACAGCCGGTGGGACGGTGTCTCGCTTCCAAGAGGTTCGATCCCCGCGACGGCTCCAGCACGACTATCTGTAATCAGTCACTCACCTCTATTTATAATGACTAACAGCCATTGTTATGACTTCACTTGCACAGGTTGTCACGTGAGCGACACCTCACAATTTATCTACCCTCAATTATTGATTATTAAAATGGTAACTGCGCCCACATATATATATATCTTTATTCAGTCAAAACCGTTTATAATAAATACATTGTTTGTATAAATTACTACTGAGTTACATATTGTCATTTTTGTTACCGTCATAATATAACTATTACCGTCAATTTTATCTTTAAAGAAACTGATTAAGAACATTTTAAGAATTCTGGATGATAAAGTAAATCATAACAATTATTACTAATACAATAAATATAATGGGTATTCGGTATTTTATTACTTTACATATGAGTATTACTTTGATCTTAATGCTTTAATACTATGAAGTAACTATAGACATAATAGTCGTTGAACTTATCCTATTACGGAACAAGATTACTTCTGCGTTGAGTTAAAATAGGACAAAAGGTGAATATTAAATTCCCAATTGAATATTTTGGTCATAAAAATAGAAGATATGTATTCAGTGCATGTTTTTCTTAGGCTTAACAGTGTGGCATAATGATGAAATTGTGTTGAGATGAAATAACTCATAACTAGAATTTTT